AGTAGTTTGAACTTGTCACAAAAAGTTGCAAGGCAAGCCTTTCTTCCCACAAGCGGGTCACAGGATTAACATGCACTGATCAATTAATGTTAACCTGCAATCTGCAATTGGTTCAAGTTTGGAATTGGGAAAAATTGTATATTTATTTCCTTACTAGCTGTGTACCCGTTCTACGCACGGGGATCTTATAGTATCAGTTGAAACCTTCTTATATAAAGAACAGTAGTTGGTTTGCATATTTTCAGATATGCTGGCCAAACTATTTATTATACATAACTTCATTTTATGTCGTTTGTTGTTGTTCCGGATCGGTATGACAATCAATAAAAGGCTAAATTACCTGTGTCCGCTGGTCGATCCTAATGTAGGCTATCCTATTACAGGAGATGCATTTCGGCGAAATTAAATCGCCATCATCAGTCCTAATATAAGGTATTTTAGCTTCCCCATTAGGTGCATCTTGGAGTTTTTGAAACACATACACGAACTGTACACTTATACACATAACGAATAAAACATAAATACACGGTAGGCCTACTTTTATTTTTACTATGGACAAGTAGACGCGCGTCGGTCGTGTGCCGAGTCTTGACTGAAAACGCTTATTTAAAAAATTTAAGTTTCCCAGCAATATACAACACTGATTCAAGGTCTATTTCCCGGTTATCAAAACTCAAGAACAATTTTATGCACAAAGAATCTCTATTTTCATTTACTGTTACCCTACAAATTATTGCACTTGCGATTAATTAAATCCGTTATGTAAGGAAAAACGTTTTTAATCTTAATTGGTTTGGATTTGCTTTCAAAACGTGATCGGAAATGGTTGCGGTATTTGTAAACAACATTCAATGTAAACATATCAGTGACAGCTAGAAGAAATAATCTTGATTTGAACAGCTGTTCGTTATTTCATAGAAGAATATGTGCTAAACATTGGGAGAAAACTTTACAAAAATCGCACAAAATTGGGTTTTTAAACGTCCGTCATTTTATTTACAAAGTGTTGACGCCATATTTTAATGGCTAAAGACAATCTCGCCAATCCAGTGAATGCATTAAAATGATTTGGAACTTGATAGGTACTCTCGTTTTTCAGGAGTAGGCCGCGTAAAATGGCTCTTGGGTCGTAACAGACTGGAAGACAGACAGAAATTTAGATGAGACTTGTTTCGGTTTCTCTAATGTATAACACGTAAAAATAACCTAAAAGTTTATGATTCTGAGCAATGTACAGACAAAACTCTAATTTTATTTATATAGATAGAAAACACATTTGTTTCGGTGTAATCTATGCCATATTCGTTAATATTTATTTGTCACTACATTTCCAACAGGTTTTTAAACGAATCATGTTCATGCTTAGTAAAATTGTTTAACATTAATTTATATTTATTGAGTATTTAATTTTTTGTTTGTTTACTTTGAAACAATATGTAAACCGTTAACAGCTGGCCGTTGGAAACTGCAGTAGATTATTTTGTATTGTAAAATCCTAAGCTTGGGTTAATGTTTGTTTCATGGCTGATTAGGTTTGAGTCCAGTGATATGCTGAGTATTTTTTTTATCTTGGACATAATGCTCGTAACAAACACCAATCAATAAAACATTGTTCATATTTTTTTCAATTGTTAAACTATTTCGATCGGTAAGAGGAAAAGTGGTAAATACTGACCGACTATAAATAATCCGAATATAAACATATTCTTGAAATTATCTTTAAAATGGATTTATGAAGAGAATGGCTAAAAGAAAATGGAATACGATATGAACGGAAAAATTAAAATGTTTTAAACAAATAACTAATGTTAACATTTAAATTTGTTTCGAAGAGATATACGTAATAAGAAGGTTTTTTATAAATGCTACTAGCTCTTGATATAAGAACAACGTACTTTGAAATAAGAAGTACTAGCGAATTACAAGTACTGTGTTTTGTCAATTTGTTGTACAATATTCAATCTAAGGAACAAATGCTTGATATTGGATTAACAAATTGCTATCTTAAAGATAAATATTTTTTTTCTGCCAAACCATTTTCAATATTTCCTACTTACTCACATACTTTAAATTAAATTCTGTATTGTGACTTAAATATTTGATTTAAAAAAACTCAACAAACGAAAATATATGTTAGATGTATTTATACTTTATAGATGACATTTTTTATAACGTAAGTGTAGAATAAATTAACATACTTCATTAGCATTACAGTATATCTGCGTATCAACCAGGAATCAAAGTCTCATTCAAAGTGACAGCTTAATTTAACTCCAACTTGTTAAGTTTTCAAAATTATATAAATTGAGTGCATAAAAAATCTAAACCTGTTACCGACATTCAAAAAGTTTTGTGCAAAACTAACGTCAATATGAATTTTTATAAACAAATTATCTAACTAAATATCATAGTTTCGAATTACATTTAATCAGAGGATTTCTCTTAATAAACCCAACATTTCTATTTGTATTATATTTTAAATCGATCCTAATGCCATTACAAATCACCTTAGGTTAAATCCAAACTAAATGACACGAAACAACACTGAACAATCTTAACACATAACTAGTAGCTGTAAAGATTTGGCTTTGAGGAATTATTGAGTTTCAAACGTTATTTAATTTGGTTGTTGGCTTTGGTTCTTTTAAGATAACTAATCAGAGAACGTGTGTTTGGGCAGCACAGCAGTAAAATAACAAAAGCAAACAAAATTATCTCTTGTCCAAGCAAACGTAAAAACATCATCTTTGACTAAATGCTTGTGGTTAAAAAATGATCTAATAATACTACTCGTACTCGCATTGTACTAGTAAAACAATGTAAAGATTTTCACTATAGTAAATATCCAAATACAGATTATATAATAATTACTTGTATTTGATTTTTAATAATAATTCTATTGCATGATATAATGATATACTTTTTCTTTACACCAATACTATCATTTACATCACAATTAAAATTGCAGTCGTATTACGATTATGCTTATACTTATGTTAACGATTTTATCATTATATTTACTAAATGTTTATCCTTATCATTTGTTTAATTTACTTACATGACTAAACTAAATTTGGACTAATTGGAAAGATAATTTTATGAAATGTTTGTACTGTATTTCCAAAGTCTTGGGTAGTGTTAGCATTTTATAATATTATAAGATATATTTATTTTCTAAGCCTAAAATTAAATTTTTCTGAAAATTGAATTCTGCTTATGCTTTTAAACGTTTCATTGAACACAAAAGTATACAAGTTTAACTTATAATATAGAATTTAAGGGTACATTAATAAAAAATATACAGCATCTTTTGGAACTATACTACTACTTTGATTGTACCTAGATTTTTGATAGTGAGGAATCAGAATAAGTGAGAATCAAGGGAATCGTATATGTTGTTATTGCAGTAATTAGAATAATTAGAAATAAAGTCCCTGGAAGAGAGATACAATGTTTCGATAGCTATAATTATTTTCAAAGATCTCTAAAAATTTGGCAAACAGTTTTTCGTCCGAATTCTAAAAAGTGAAAACCCTTACTTTACATTACAAGTTAGGCCTATAATTTAACGGTGTATACCATTGCAAACATATAGGATTACTATATGCATTGTGTTAATTAACTGACTAAAATCAAAAATCTTGTTTGATCAATCAAACGCAAAAAAATCTTTTTAGGACGAGTTTGAAACCTTTATTTAATATATAAGTATATTCGGAATGAACTTTAACCGAACGAATTTACACGCAATATTCCCCAATTGTCTAGAAACTCAAAGAGAATATGTGGGTGGATCTGAGGCTATCGACGTTTTTTGTATGGTAAATTATCTTTGGACACTTCATTGAAGTTTGACAGAGAAAGAGCAGGATTAGACACACCTAATCGTGCAGCTATGTACGGTGTACAGCGCGCAGCGCGCACCTGTACCGCGGCCACACCGCTCAGGTCAAGACAAATTTGAAAAATATATTGATAGCTTTTCTCGTTTTAAGTCATACGGAAATGAGTATTAAAGACTTGTTAGCTAAAACTCTGAGCGATTACAATGTTATTTAGATCATTCTATATTGAGTTTCTAACCATACCTAAAACATTTGCTAGTTCTCTTCATGTGGAGTGTTCACATTCATGTAAGAAAATATTTTACAAAATAATTGAATTGATACTATGATGTAAATTATTTTGGCTTCCAGTGTAAAACCAATCGGTTATTTTATATAGGCAAATATATAGACATGGTAGTTATTTAATCTACTGTGCATTAAATTCCACAATTTGGTTGTTTCCTTTGTATATTTAGGCAAAAATTATGATTTGCTTCTTATTTAGTTTATGTACTTGATAGTTTTTGGTGAGAGCAAGAGATTTAGTTTTTAGTTATAGGCCACATTCTAAAAACCTTTGAGTGATTTTGGTATATGATATATTTGTTTAACATTGATAGAGCTTTTTAAGATGTTTGATTGTGTACATTCTTTAACCAATACCTACGTAATGCCTTTCTGATTCTTTGGTTGCATCAAACTACATTGAAAAACGAATTTTTATAATGAATCATCTAAGCTGATGAAACGTACTAACTGTATTCATTTCTCATTGCAGAAGGATAAATATCTACTTTACTAAAGAAAACCACGACTTTTTCGAACTACGAAGGAGTATTTTGTAGAATGGAATTGATCGCATAACGACAAACATAGTAAATAATTTAGCAATTTTATGACTATAAATTGAGTTTTTAAGTTATGAAAAGCTCGCACGTTCATTAAAAGCACAATTCTAGGTTCTGTTTTAGGTCCTTCGTGGGTTCTTTTTAGTGTATTTTCTCATTAGATCCACATAAGAAAATATGTAAACACTTCAACCGATACACTTCAGGAAACACTAACACACCAACCTCACACGTTCATCCCCAGATGCCGCTCGTGGCAGATAAGTTTCAACCCCTACAGCCGCGTGGCGTTATCACTCTTATCTCTATCTTATCACTACTCTACCTTAGACTGCGCCGCGTAGTCCAGCGCCGACAACATACAGTCGTTGTAGCCATTCTCCGTCTTGATGGTAGTAGGCATGGGGCTGGCCGTACCGCAAAACTGCCCCACAGACTCCCGATACCAGGGGTACATTCTCACACACTCACTAGCTTAACCACCGATAGTCACCACCGACATCAGAACCGCACAACCGGCAACCGGTCAGGACGCGGCCGCGTTTTTTGACAACCGTTTTTTAGAGCGATCAAAAAATGCGGTGCGACGGGCGAAGGCCGGTGAATGAGTGTTGTGTCGTATGAGGGACCACGCGACCGGCTCGGCGATCTTCGGGGGCGGTCGGGCGTCTTCGGAGCCGCGCGCCGCCCACCGCCCCGACCTCTCCCAACACTTCATTCAAAAATCAAATTGGCTCGCATGCGAAAAAGCTACACCAGAACTGAATATGAGATATGAGCGACTACCACGCGACCACTGCTATTGACCACTACATATGTGGTGACCGCTACTGTAGTAGCTACTGACTACTAGTAGTTGACCTGTGACCACTCTCTGTCTCCCACCAATCACACATCTTCCCGCTGATATCCTGGTGACCTCGACTATTGCTACTGACCTTTGTATATGTGGTGACCGCTACTGTAGTAGCTACAGACTACTAGTAGCTGACCTGCGTGTCCTCTCTCTGTCTCCTGCCAATCACACATCTTCCCGCTGATATCCTGGTGTCCTCGACTATTGCTACTGACCCTTGTGTGGTGACCGCTACTGTAGTAGCTAGTGACTACTAGTTGTTGATCTGTGTGTCATCTCTCTGTCTCCTACAAATCACACATTTTCCCGCTGATATCCTGGTGTCCTCGACTAATTGCTACTGACCATTGTATACGTGGTGACCGCTACTGTAGTAGCTACTGACTACTAGTAGCTGACCTAGATGTCCTCTCTCTGTCTCCTGCCAACCACACATATTACCGCTGATATCCTGGTGTCCTCGACTATTGCTACTGACCTTTGTATATGTGGTGACCGCTACTGTAGTAGCTACTGACTACTAGTAGCTGACCTGTGTGTCCTCTCTCCGTCTACTGCCAATCACACATCTTCCCGCTGATATCCTGGTGTCCTAGACTATTGCTACTGACCTTTGTATGTGAGGTGACCGCTACTCTAGTAGCTACTGACTACTAGTAGCTGACCTGTGTGTCCTCTCTCCGTCTTCTGCCAATCACACATCTTCCCGCTGATATCCTGGTGTACTATTGCTACAGACCTTTGTGTATGTGGTGACCGCTACTGTAGTAGCTACTGACTACTAGTGGTTGACTTGTGTGTCCTCTCTCTGTCTACTTCCAATCACACATCTTCCCGCTGATATCCTGGTGTACTATTGCTACAGACCTTAGTATATGTGGTGACCGCTACTGTAGTAGCTACTGACTACTAGTGGTTGACTTGTGTGTCCTCTCTCTGTCTACTTCCAATCACACATCTTCCCGCTGATATCCTGGTGTACTATTGCTACTGACCTTTGTATGTGAGGTGACCGCTACTCTAGTAGCTACTGACTACTAGTAGCTGACCTGTGTGTCCTCTCTCCGTCTTCTGCCAATCACACATCTTCCCGCTGATATCCTGGTGTACTATTGCTACAGACCTTTGTGTATGTGGTGACCGCTACTGTAGTAGCTACTGACTATTAGTGGTTGACTTGTGTGTCCTCTCTCTGTCTACTTCCAATCACACATCTTCCCGCTGATATCCTGGTGTACTATTGCTACAGACCTTAGTATATGTGGTGACCGCTACTGTAGTAGCTACTGACTACTAGTGGTTGACTTGTGTCCTCTCTCTGTCTACTTCCAATCACACATCTTCCCGCTGATATCCTGGTGTACTATTGCTACAGACCTTAGTATATGTGGTGACCGCTACTGTAGTAGCTACTGACTACTAGTGGTTGACTTGTGTGTCCTCTCTCTGTCTACTTCCAATCACACATCTTCCCGCTGATATCCTGGTGTACTATTGCTACTGACCTTTGTATGTGAGGTGACCGCTCTAGTAGCTACTGACTACTGGGATGCTTGGTATTTTTTTTTTTTTTTTTTTTTGTCACTTGATGAATACTTGGGATTTCTCAGAAAAATTGGTTAGGTTTTGTCCAGTAAATTTGTTGTAGTCGCAGAGGACTGTAAAATTACTCTTTCAACAAATCAGCCCCAACGTGATAGGCAGTATGGGTGTAATAATCGGTATATATTACTATACAATTGTGCGGTACCTATCTAGCCATTGTCTAAGGTTTTCAGCCAATGGGGACAAAAACAATATGGTCAAATTAAATTGTATTTGTTTCAATAGTTCAAATCTTGTGGAAATTATAAAATCAGCCAGTGTCTTTTTCTCACAAAGCTAGGAACTACACACTTGTCAAATCCATTTGTGATTTATTATTTTTAGAGTTTATAAATAAGATAAATACTTAAATCAAATTAAAACAGTGAGGTGTAGAATAACTCACCCGGACTACAATAAATTAAAAGCTTGAATGTTGTATTATCAAATCAAATAAAAATCTTGTTTATTAAAAAAGTTTTACAATTAATAATCAATATTTAAAATACTAAATAAAATAGTCCCACATAGAGAATGCATGAGCTAAGCGCAGGACGAGTTATACATACATAAAATTTATATAAAGTAAAACTTAATTAATCAAGATGTTAAGGAATAACTGAGCTAAACGCTTCAGGAGGGGTTAAACAAATAGTCGCGTGGTTGGGATTTCGCAGTTAAACACTGTCTGTAGGTTAATTATTGTTTAGTGAATAGGTAAAGTATTTTTCACCACACTATGATGTTTTTAGCTGTTTTACATATGTCAATTGGTGGCTGAAAGTTACGTTTTGCTGGCCATTCCAGCTGTCATCGTCATTTGGGGCCCGAGCAGGTTTTTTACATAGGCCGCAAAATCAGCTGTCCACTTACTTTTGTAAAACATGAATGCATATGAAATACACAATTGAATTGTTTTATTGTCACCGCTGCCTAGCAACTGTTTATTATTATTTTTGCTGATCCCTCAAATTATTTCTTCACACAACCTTAAAATTCAAGGTAGTTGTGTTGACTATCAGTGTGCATTATTATTGTGGTGAATATTGGTAATAGGGTATAGTGTAATGAAAAATAGCGTTCGTACCACGGACCAAAATGGTTTTGCAGCTTCGTCTCGAACTTAAAAAATATCTCAAAACCTCATTTTCGGCCCTAGGTACGAAATATACCATTGAATTGATTAATTATTGTAATGAAATTATAAGTGTCTCAGACTGATTTAGTCCAATCTCCAACAGCCAGCCGTTTACCGCACGTTACTTCACTGGAAGTGATACCTGTATGTCTCCAATCTTTGATGGTATATATGGGGAATCCACAATATGGAATTAATATTGTGTGTTTCTTTGAAAGTGAAATGTAAATATCGGCATGGATGTAGTTAAACTAATCAATGTTTAAATTCTATCCATTTGCTAGTTAAGATTTGCCTTTTCATATTATTATTTTTTTCTTATCATAGATATAGCTAGTTTCCCTTCAATTTATTACAAACGATTTTGTGAAATATCTGTGGTGAAACGTTAAGATCGCTGATGCTGTATTTTAAACTATATATTTATGGATACTACATTTTTGTAAGTGCGAAGGTATATTGTGTATCAATACTCAACTGGCGATCAAACAATTTACACTTTCAAGTTATGTACTTTTAGTAAGTTTCTACACCAGAGGCAATTCATTGAAAATACACTTCACAACGTACACAGTTTTAGATTGTTTAAATAAAAATATTAATAAATACTTCGTCACTTACCGTACTTAATTGACTTTTGTAATTTTTACCAGTTTCTAAGCTTTCTGTATTCCTCTTCTTATATTTTATCTGGTGGAAGGTAGTTATTTACCTCAGAAGCTGTTTTGATCAAATCATCAGTAATGTTAGACATACTTTGACCAATTTCTAACATGCAAACTAATGCTTGTTTCTGTATAGATTTAAATTGTGAAACAATAAAAACAGCTGATTTAAATAATTAAAATACCCCCGCCGCAGCAAACCTGCCGTCTAAGCGAATTTCCATTTGGCTGAATTGATTTTCAATTGATCTATTTAAATAACATTAGGTTTAACAAGTACCTAGGTTTGCTGCTACAAGGAATCTAATAAAGTGTGTGTTTTAAGTAAAATAATTATTGCTTAGTATAATACCCCCGTCGCAGCAAACCTGCATACTAAACGAATTTCCATTCACCCGGCTTGATTTCTACTAAAATATTCCCTATAAATTTTCAGATTTATTTCCTATTTAAATAACATTAATTTTAGTGAGTAGTTAGGTTTGCTGCTACGGGAAAGATGTTGAGGTGTGTTTTTTCAATTGAAATATTGATAGCTTAGTATGAAATAAGCCAAATTTGATTGAAATATATCCATAAACAAGCAAACTAGAATAGTTTATTATTCTCCATAAGAATAACATGGGAATTTTAAATTTACAATTTCTTTAATTTTCTCCGTAGTCAATGAACATTCAAAAAAACTCCAATATACTAAATTATTTGTTTTTTTAAGCTCTTCAAAATGGTCTTGAGAAAAATTTAGAAATTTAAAGTTTTTAGGGTCAAAAATGAGAAAACCCCATTTTTACCCCATAAAACCCCCTATAAACCCCAGATCCCATGGTCCGATTATGCTGGTTCACGAACTCGTTCGAATAAATGTAGGTTTACACGTTTGTACCAAATTTCATCAAAATCGGATCAATTTTGCTCGAGTTATCGCGCTAACGGACACATATATAAATATATATATGAATTTGAACGGATGGTGTTTTTGGGCTCTGGGGACCTCAAAACGAAAAAGTAAATCGGTCCCGGGTCTAGGTCTTACCATGAGACCTACGGTAATAGCTTATTTCCTATATGGGAAATTCGCTAAAATCTAACAAAACACTAGCGCGCATAGTGGATAAATAGAGAACTAATCGAGAGCTAGGGAAAGTAAATTTGGAGCGAGGGAAATCAGCTGATAGTTTTCCCCTTGCTCTAAATTATAAGCTTATATTAGCTCGTATTATTGTGAGCTTGGGAAACAACTACTTTCTTTTATATAAGCTGTTATCGAAAATAGTTAGTTGTATAGAAAATAGTTTCGGTAAGGAGTGATGAAAAGTGTTATACCAACTCACAATATTCAAAATTGTTTCATTAATGTGCGCTTAAGATCAAATCGCGTTCAGAGATAACCTGCAAGTCGAGTACAGTAATTCAAAACGTAATTTTATTGTTATAACAGAAGTGTTTGCTG